TGGTGGCTGCCACCGAGGCCGCCGCTGCCGCCTCCCCGGGGCCAGAGCGGGACTCAGCACTGACAAAGGACAGCGAGGGAGCCGAGGAGGGGGAGAAGGACGAAAAGAGTGAAAGTGAGGATGGGGAGCGGGAGCATGAGGAAGAGGAAGAAAAGGATGCTGAGAAGAAGGAGAAAAACAGGGCGGCAGCAGCAGCGGAGGCACACAATAGCACGGAGCCCAGCGTAGCCACAGATTCCCCCAATCGGACTGCCGAGGAGGAAGGAAATAAAACCATATCGGGTAAAGAGCCAAACCAAAACTTTGCCCCCACGGCTGGAGGTCCTGAGGAGGAGAGCTTTGATGAAGCAGACGCTCAGCCCCAGCCGCTCCCTTCCACCCAAGTGCCGCCAGCATTCACCAACGAACTTTACCTGGGGAAGATCCCAAGAAGACCAGAGACAACAAGAAAACCTCCTCCAAAGGAGGACAGGTTTCCAGAGGAATACCCCTCAGATAACAAATTCATCACCATTAACCCAGGTGAGTGACCTCCGGGGAAACTGGTTTTGTCAGTATAAGACTGTTGGAAAATTACACAGTCCAAATTCCTCACTGATTTCCAGTAGATACATTTCCGTGGTGCCTGGCTTCATCTGAGGGCAGGTCAACACAGGACCCAACCCACAAATTGTTATTTGGGGCAGGAGAGGAGGAAGGATCATCATTTTATTTTATTGGGACAGATTCATGCTCCTTGGAAAAATGTTAACTCCAAACTTGATGCATTTAGAATTTTGGTTTTTTAAAAAAAAGAGAGGAATGCAGTGAACTATAGCTGTGAAATTAATTTGGAAGAGTGGTTGCTGTGCCGAGCTGATGTTTCATGGGAAGGTTGCTATATGCTGTAAGCTAATTTAGTTTATCTGCAGGATTCTCCCTGATCGGGCTTTGAGATAGTCTTGCAAATACGGGATCATCACTGGTTTATTTCTCATCGCAAAACCTACATGCTCTGATCTTCCAAGGCAATGCACCTTTTGCAGTAGGGCTACCTTTTTTTTTCCTGTGGAAAAAAAAATCTTAGCTAGGCAGACTTCACATGTTTTCTGTGTTTCTCCTGATAAGAATTACCACTGTTCCTGTACACGCTGGCTTTGGATGTAGGTACCAAAGCCACAGTATGTACACAGCTAATACGACCTTTTGGAAGCACGCCCAGGTGATCTGCGTGTGCCCAAAGCCCTTTGTGGTCAGGATTTGCTGCACAGGCCTATGCAGACGGGTATCTCACAGCGCTCCCAGCTCGCTGCGTAGAAAGTCCAATGCATACGCACATGTCTCTGCTTGGGGAGCTCCAGGCGCTGGTGAGGAAAACAGATCTTATAACTTAAAGGAGCAAAGGGAGTACGTGCATATGGGTTTATTTGCAGAGTAAGGACTGAGATTTAGATACGGCGCCAAGTTTATCTGAGTGATTTTGTGTATTGCCACAGCATTTATAAGCTAGTGCTCATTTTTTGTTTGGTTGGTTTTTTTACTGTTGTAGTTTATTTTGGTAATCTATAGACTGTTTTGTAATTTTGGTTTTCCATCAAAGCTGCTCTAGAGTTACAGAGTACTATGAAGAAAACTTATATATTTGTTTCCCCCTACATTTATAAACACAAAAATGCAGATGTTGTGCACTCAGTTATAGCTCAAAACCAATTTAAAAAACAAAGCTAAACCGTATCTTTAATAACATTTGTTACAGAAATGCTGACCTGACTGTGAATCATAACTGTTCTGTAAGAGAACAGATTAACAATGCGGAAGCCAAGAAACCTGCACCAGGTTGTGCTCATTTTTTTAAAAAACGCTGCTTTTTTTCTTACTACTCAACTGGAAATCTTCAAAGTCCAGCGCTCCCGCTGAATATGGTCTGAGATGCCTGTCAGGCTGCTTTCAGCATGCCACTTGCCTTAATCACCTTTTTATCAGGAAGAAGGGAACTCAGCACCATTTAGGTTCAAACCCCAGGAATTCAATCTGCTTGGGTAAACCTGCCTCTGAAATAGTTGTCTTCAGTTCTTCCTGCCTTCTGCTTCCCCATTTCTCAAGTGCCAGTTTCTTGGATGGCCCAAGTACAGTGTCCCTTATCTAAGATGTAGAAAGGGCCTCATGGCTTATTCTCAGCCTAGTTGGAGGAAAGATGGGTAGTTGGTCTTGTTTCTTACCTCATGACAACGTGGTTGTTATTAAATTGTTTTTGTTCTGTAGCCAAGATGAAAAAGATTCAAATCAATGAGATGGGAAAATACTGTTAATATTGCTAAGAAGTTCTTACTGGTTATTGTGAACTATATCCCCTTAGTCTGTAGTGATTTCTCTTTTTAGCATGCAGAGAACTATCACTGTAAGTGGTTCGGTACAGCTTTGCCTCCTACTAGACAGCCTCTTTTAAGAGCTCTGCTCACTTGCAGGCTTGGAGGCTTGAAATGACCCTACCTGAAGACTGCACGCAAAGACAATCAGTCTTGAAAGGACTCTGCAAATTAGGTTTTCTGTGCTGATATATGGAGGGAGGATAACTTACTAAGATCACTGTGTCTTACAAAAATGGCTTCCATGTGTAGGAAATTACATCTGAAATAACCAGCACGTTAGCTGGGGGAAAAGATAAGTGAAAGATTTGCCTGTTTCACCCAAATTAACCCTAGTTAAGACTTAGTTAAACCTCTGCTGCATACTCAGAATGAGGAGAAGGAACTGTACCATACCTTCAGCTTCCCAGAAGAGCCTCTCCCAGGCCCCTCAGTGCACTGAAGAGGACACTCAGCAGCAAAAGGACTGGGAATGGTTATTCAAAGATGAAGAAGGACCCATTTGTGCCATTTTCCTCGGGGTAGAGATTTATTCCCTGTCTTTGACCTCCAGGTGGAAGAAGTTAGGTTGGTCGCAATCCTGGTGACTCCATCTCCAGACATTGGCAAGGTCTAGTGTTTTTCAACTCTGAGAACGTTTTGAGATGTTTCTTACTGGCTTTGGGACAGAGGCTTTCAATCTGAATCTCTTTCTGTCAGGTGTGAGGACCTTGTCCTTCAAAGTCTCAAGTACTTCTCTTTGCATGTGTTACCAAGCTTCTGCAGTGGGTAGCTAAGGTCTACCTAACCCAGAATTTGCCCAAATATTTTACTAGATGTGTCTGAGTAAGGCCTGGATGGCCTGTTGGGAGTGCTACCCCCGTGAGAAGACTTGGGAATGCAGGAGGAGGAGCTTTCCTCCAGCTGGATCTAGGTTACCAAAGACACATGCCAGCAAAACCCACAACTGGTGAATTGGACCATCAATCAAACACTAGCATGAAGCCTAAGATTAGTTGCTTCGGCTTGTTTTCCACAGTAATATGGAAATTTGCAATTCATACAGACAGACCTGACCTAGCTCATGCAAGGAGTTGAGTTCAGTGAAACTCCAGACATAAGCAAGACCTCTTCCTATGAGAAAGGGCCTCAAAGGTTTTCCGTAACAAAGTAAACCTGAAATTAAGGCAATGACCAGTGAAGCCAACAGGACATTGCCAGAAGTGTCTGAAAGCATTCCTGAGCATCAAGAGAGTTAAAAGAGGGTGAAGGCCACTGCCGAAGTGAGTAGAAGGAACCCCAGAAGCTTGCTGTGTCCTGTAGAGGTCAGAAACTTTTTTGGATGCATCCTTTCTCCAGGAAAATAGTTTTCAAAAAGCTGTCAAGGTTTCAAAATGTTTTTGTGACTAGGAAGTTTAATCATTTTGAAGAGTAGAAAATTGTTTCATAACAATGTACACTTGTAAAATTAATTATATAGCATCAAATTAGCAGTTGTAAGGAGATAACTGAATGGGGAAGTACTCGTGAGTGTGGATGATTAGAGGAGAACAGGGAACACATGAGAAATTACAGGGAAAGTGCAAGGCCAATTAGTACAGCAAGGCTCATTTTCTTTTAGTGCTTATTTCACACGCACATACACACACACCTCTCCTGAGGCCATGTCATTATTTTCCAAATGGCATTGGCCTCTTCTTGTCTGGTGGTATCGGCCAACTCTAATGATTTTCTTCTGTCACTGAACGCTTGCTTGCATTCTCCTCTTTCATTTTCCTGATCATCCTTTCTCTGTTTTGGTGCCCACACTAATTGTACCTTTGATCTGCAACTGTTACACATGCAGCTGCTCAGCATTGTCCGCGACTCTGAAACCTGAAAATTAGAAAATAGCAATTAGAATGATGCTCTACCAAAAAAAAAAAAAAAAAAGAGGGGAAAAAAAAAAAAGAAAACCAGCATGATTCAATTTAATCAGGCTAATGTCCCACAGAATTTTGGTTTGTTGTGCCGGACAGTTAAACAGATCCTTTGTATTTGACAGGAGGTAACGAATGGGCTGTTGTGAGCAAAGTAATAGAAGCCCAGTTGGGGCTTTTGTCTGAGTCATGAGCTGGGGCTGAGAACAGAGATGTGGGTTTGGCCTTTGGTCGGAACTTCAGCCGGGTTTGGCCTTTGGTACAAACTTCAGCCACATCCTCCCGTCCCTCAGCGCTCGCACACTTCTGCCGAGTTCCTCCCACAAGAGGGCTTTGTGGGGAGATCGTGATGTGCAGGGTTAAATTTCAAGCCCGCTGTATGCTTTTGGTATAGACTGGATTTTGGTTTTCGGAACAGTCTTTGCCAGGTCTGAGGTTACAAAAGCCTTCTGGGGATAACCTCATTAAGATAATTAAACATCTGTGTAATTCTTTCTTTCTCCGTACATGGCAAGGGTTATTAAGCTGTATTTTCATGTGGCATTTGAGCCATTTTGCATGGCAACTTACAGGAGCAAGCAGCAGAATGGCTTGAAAATAAAAAGATTGAATTATTTGATGTTTGCAAACAGTATGAATTTCAGGTATCTGACATCAGGATTAAATATGATTGGCATCTGTTTACAAAACTGAAAAGCTGCACTTA